TAGAAAGCAAGTGTCATGTAGGTCACATATGCAGATGCTGGCAGCAATAAAGTCTTTTATTGTACTACTATACCACAACAGATGACCCTACAATGGCTGGTAAAGCTCCACCCCAAATTGCACCCAGTCAGTGCAACCTGGTCCTACAAACTAGATCCAACAGTCACTAGAGCTGATTCACAAGGCAAGGAGGAAGTCCGTAGTCCACCAACAATGTAATAATAATAATAATAATAATAATAATAATAATAATAATAATAATAATAATAATAATAATAATAATAATAATAATAATAATAATAATAATAATAATAATAATAATAATAATAGTAAAGTTGGAAGGGACCTTGTAGGTCATCTAGTGTCTAGCCACTATCTAGATAGAATAACTCCATGGAATGGTAACATGCAGAATATTTATTGATCAGGAATTCTTAAGCATTAACTCACAGTTATGTAGCTACATCTGTCACATGATTCATATTCTGTCCATTCATGCAGGTAAAAAGAGAATAATTTTTCTCCATCTTCATAAAGATCACATGCTGCTCTGGAGCTCCCAGCCACATGGCTAGGATTCATGGAGAGAGATAATAAACCTGCCACGTAACAGGATGTCCCATAATAAAGACACAAGACCCTCCCAGTGGCCAATTAGAACACAGATATAACCATGTAACAACTAAACTACATTTCCCAGAAGGCCACCCTTAAGAGGGCAGCAATTTAACCCTTAAAACACAGTTTCCTAAGCTAGCTGTATTCTGGACTAGATGGCTACATACTGGGCCAGGACAACCCTGGTAGAACATACTATAATAGAATTGGAAGAAATCTTTCTCAAGCAGATGACCAATACTATTCCAGGAAAGTGGCTGTACAATCTCTTCTCAAAAGCCTCCAGTGATGGAGCACCCACAACTTCAAAAGACAAGTTGTTCCATTGGCTAATTACTCTTATCATTAGGAAATTTCTTCTTAGTTCTAGGTTGCTTCTCTCCTTGGTTAATTTCCAATCATTGTTTCTTGTCTTGCCATTTGGTCCTTTGAAAAATAGTTTGACCCCCCCTCATCTTTAAAGATACCCCTCAAATATTGGAACACTGCTATCATGTCACCCCTACACCTTCTTTTGGTAAGATGGAGTCACTGTGTGTTCAAAGGGACTCAAGGATCTAGGGCTTTATCATCTTTAGTTCTGAGTGGACTGCATTTTGCCAGACAGATCCTGTGTGCAATTTGTGGGTTCTTCCAGACTCATGACTCCAACTGAAAGAACAGGTGGCTGTCAAGGCTAGGAGACCCTTTGTGTAATTTCATGTTATTTGCCAATTGTACCCTTTCATGGATTGTGAGGATATGTGCAGGATCTCCCATGCCCTTGTAATCTCTCAGTTGGATTACTGCAATGTGCTCTACTTGGGCTAGCGTGGAAGAGTATGGCCACACTTGGAATACTGCATCCAGTTTTGGTCACCACGATGTAAAAAAGATGTTGAGACTCTAGAAAGAGTGCAGAGAAGAGCAACAAAGATGATTAGGGGACTGGAGGCTAAAACATACAAGGAACGGTTGCTGGAATTGGGTATGTCTAGTTTAACGAAGAGAAGGACAAGGGGGGACAGGATAGCAGTGTTCCAATATCTCAGGGGCTGCCACAAAGAAGAGGGTGTCAAGCTATTTTCCAAAGCGCCTGAAAGCAGGACAAGGAGCAATGGGTGGAAGCTAACCAAAGAGAGAAGCAACCTAGAACTAAGGAGAAACTTCCTGACAGTTAGAACAATTAACCAGTGGAACAACCTGCCTCCAGAAGCGGTGAATGCACCAGCACTGGAAGTTTTTAAGAAGAAACTGGACAACCATTTGTCCGAAATGGTATAGGGTTTCCTGCCTGAGCAGGGGGTTGGACTAGATGACCTCTGTTGTGTCCTGAGCCTGCAAGAGGCAGGCTCGGGACGTTGCAAGAGTCCCGGGCATTTGCAGAAGCTGCCCGGGACCAGACTGAGCGACGCCAGCCTTGTGCGCATGCGCAAGGCGGGAAAAACCCGCCTCATGATTGGTTGAACTTGCCCGGGGATCAGAGGGTATAAATAGAGGCCTGCGTGCCTCTGCTCTGGTTGTTCGTAGAGTGGAGCAAACAATAAAGACTTGTTGGAGATGATTCAGAAATGCTCACAACAATGAAAACCTCGGACAGGAGGAAGAACGCCACCGGGTGGGCAGGCAGGTGTCTTGCTCGGCTGTGGCTTGGGGGGCACTTTTTTCAGTGCCATTGTAACTTCGAAAAAGTCACTAACTGTTGTAAGTCGAGGACTACCTGTATTTTATCACTTTTTTTCCTTTTTTGGGGGGGGGGTCATCAAGTTTTTGACACCTTGCTAGGTGACTGGTGGTACTCGGATATCGCCATATCCAAAAAGTGGTACAATGGGTGAAAAGGTTGAAAAAGTGAGCCTTTTAGTGCTGGGTTGTAATGTATCCCATTCTGTCAATCATCAGCAGATGTGAGATTAATGGAACCTGATATATTCAGGTATACACACTGACTGGTAACTTTGATTTTCCTAGAAGACTCTTCTTGCCAAAGCAACATCCCTGGTCTATGAAATTCTTTACCATGATAAATTCCTTTTGTTGCAATGTTTCCTCTAATTTCGTTGTGAGTCTTCCCCTGGCACTCCAACGCATTGGTGTTAAGTTTGTTCATCTTAGGCTCAATGCTATAAGAGTTCTGAAGATCTTGAATATTTGATTGAGTCTGTTGAGCTAGAGGTGTTGTTAGACTGTTCATGGCAGTGGGTTGATCCAAAGTTTTGTGAATTTTCTTCTGGAGTGGGGTTTAGTTACCCAGCAGTCCTTTTGGTAAAACCATGGCATCAGGGGAAATGAAGTTGTTGCTTTTAATGGTGCAAGATCAACCTTTCTTCATCTTTTAAAATTGCCAGATTGTCCTCCTTCTGGTTGCTCTTCTGTTGAAAATCCTCACTTAAGTCAAAGTGTATCAGAGGTATTTATAGATAATAATAATAATAATAATAATAATAATAATAATAATAATAATAATAATAATAATAATAATAATAATAATAATAAATTATTATTATTATTATTTCAACCTTCCCTGGAACCTCCAGTAGCTCAGGTTGGGGGACGAGTCCGTCCTTGGGATGTGGTAAAGTCTGTTTACCGACAGGTCAGAGAAGAATTAAACTTCCAGTGTTGGAGCATTCATTGCTTCTGGAGGCAGGTTATTCCATTGGTTAATTATTCTAACTGTCAGGAAGTTTCTCCTCAGTTCTAAGTTGCTTCTCTCCTTGATCAGTTTCCATCTGTTGCTTCTCGTCCTGCCTTCAGGTGCCTTGGAGAATAGCTTGATTCCCTCTTCTTTGTGGCAGCCCCTGAGATATTGGAACACTGCTTTCATGTCCCCCCTCGTCCTTCTCTTCATTAAACTAGACATACCCAATTCCAGCAACCGTTTCTTATATGTTTTAGCCTCCAGTCCCCTAATCATCTCTGTTGCTCTTCTCTGTACTCTTTCTAGAGTCTCAACATCTTTTTTACATCGTGGTGACCAAAACTGGATGCAGTATTCCAAGTGTGGCCTTACCAAGGCATTGTAAAGTGGTATTAATACTTCACGTGATCTTGATAATATCCCTCTGTTAATGCAGCCTAGCACTGTGTTGGCTTTTTTGGCAGCTGCAGCACACGGCTGGCTCATATTTAAGTGATTGTCCACTAAGACTCCGAAATCCCTCTCACAGTTACTACTATTGAGCAAGGTACCCCCTATACTATACCTGTACATTTGGTTTTTCTTGCCTAAATGTAGAACCTTACTTTTTTCACCATTGAATTTCATTTTGTTAGATAGCGCTCAGTGTTCAAGTCTGTCCAGGTCCTCCTGTATCTTAGGCCTGTCTTCTGGAGTGTTGGCTATTCCTGCCAGCTTGGTGTCATCCGCAAATTTGATGAGTTCCCCATCTATCCCCTCGTCCAAATCGTTCATGAAGATGTTGAAGAGCACTGGGCCTAGAACAGAGCCCTGGGGCACCCCACTACACACTTCCCTCCATGTAGATGCAGTTCCATTGAGGACAACACGCTGAGTACGGCTGGTCAATCAGCTATGAATCCATCTGGTGGTGATGCTGTCTAACCCGCTTTTTTCTATCTTATCGAGTAGTAGGTTGTGATCTACTTTATCAAATGCCTTACTGAAGTCCAAGTAAATTATATCCACAGCATTCCTCTGATCCACTAATTTTGTCACTTGGTCAAATAATGCAATAAGGTTTGTCTGGCATGATTTGTTTTTGACAAATCCATGTTGGCTTTTAGTAATGACTTTGTTTGCCTCTAGGTGTTCACTGATTCGTTGTTTGATTATCTTTTCCAGAATCTTCCCAGGTATTTAGGTCAGGCTGATAGGTCTGTAATTTCCTGGATCCATTTTTTTTTCCTTTTTTGAAGATGGGAACTACACCAGCTCTTTTCCAGTCCTCTGGTAGTTCCCCAGTGCTCCAAGATCTTTGAAAAATATAGTTCAGTGGTTCTGAGATCACATTTGCCTGTTCCTTCAGAACCCTGGGGTAATTCAGTCAGAGGTTCTGCTGCAATACGGGTTGTTAACAATGTCCATTGTAAATACATTAATTGCCCCAACAATCTGGGTTCTCATTTTACCAATCTCGGAAGGATGGAAGGCTGAGTCAATCTTGAAACACTCAGGATTGAACTCCTGGCAATGGGCAAAGTCAGCCTACAATACTGTAGAATTCAATACACTGAACCACCATGGCTTTGAATAAGACAATTTATGCACTGAATAAATAAGTAAATTAACAACAAGAAGGTGATTCAAGGAGATGGCTAGGTCCTACTCAAGTCATGTGGTCTCTGTTGGGTTTAATGATACTTCAGAATTGGGTAAATTGTCCCTGCTAAAACTTTAGCATGGATCATATTCAAGTGTGCTAATAGGATAGGCATCTTTTTTAGATAGGTATTTCTAAACATCTATAGCTCTCTACCCATAATTTGATGCTTGGATTAAGGACAACTTTCAATCAATTAAAGATGTTGCAGAATCTATTACAACAGCTCTCCTTATTAATATGATGATTACACTTAGTTTAGTTGCAAAAGGCTGCACAGCACCAGAGATGGTCCTCAATTGTATGAAGCCTTTATGAAGACAGTCTCTTATTTGTAAATAAAATTGAGTGAATTTTATTTTCATGGTAATGTCCTAATGCTGGACTAGATATTATCTCTTTGGCGCAACAAGATTCTCCCTTATATTCAGATAGATTCCTTAGGCATGAGGTACACCATGTTTTTAAAATAATTCCAGCATACTATAATGTTTGGGACAAAATGGATTACCCAACCCTTCATTTAAAAAAAAATAAAATAACCTTCTTTTGTTATTTGTGTGGCATGTGATCAAAGGCAACCTCATTAACCTGGATTAATGTGATAGTATCTTCTTGGCAAAGTTCCAGCCCAAATGAGGGAGAATATCAGCATCAAGTTGTTATTTGTTTCCCATCAATGGAGTATATAAAACAGGAAGAAAAAAAAAAGCATCAGACAAAAGGATACAACCATCTTCAGATCCACTAGTGAGAACCAAAGAAAAAATAACCCAGCAGGACAATGATGATGATGGGAACATTTTTGTTTGTTTTGCTACTTGCTCTGCTGATTCTCTTCTTCCTGAGACAACTCTGGTCCCAAAGACATTTGCCTCCTGGTCCTTTGGCTCTACCTCTCGTTGGGACCTTGTGGGCTTACGGGATTTCGTTTCGTGAAGATTATTTTCGTAAGGTATTTCATTCTAAATAATTAACAAATAATATATAAAACCATTCTCAATTATTTTCTCTGTAACGTAACTGTAGAAAAATATATTAACCTAGTAAAGTATTCTTGCATGATGAGGAATTTAATTAATCAAATGATAGTGATGACTCTTGAGGAGTTATTTTCCATATCATGCCAGAATATTCAAGCCGAGACCTGCTCACCACCGTTTCACAGTGCAGGATCTGAAATAATGGGTTTAAGTTTTTTAGGGGGCAGATTATATTTCAGTCTTACCAAGAATTGTTTGATAATGGAACCAGTTCTTCAGAGAGAAGGATGGTTTCTCCTTCATTCTGCTCAAATGAAGTTAGACATTCTTCTGTTGAAGATGCTTTATTCTATATTCCTGTGGTGGACAAAAGGTGGAACTGGATAGCCTTAATGGCCCCTTCTAATTCTGCAATTCTATAATGCTTTCAAAAGCTTTATGGATCTGTGTTCTAAACTAACATCTATTCATAATCTGCCTCCACAAATTGTGAGTACTCCAATACTGGAAGTTTTTAAGAAGAGATTGGACAGCTATTTGTCTGAAATGGTATAGGGTTTCCTGCCTGAACAGGGGGTTGGACTAGATGACCTCCAAGGTGCCTGCCACTTTATTATTATTATTATTATTATTATTATTATTATTATTATTATTATTATTATTATTATTATTATTATTATTACCATCATCATCATCATCATCATCATCATTATCATTATTATCATTATCATCTATTTCCACTATCTGCATGAGTAATAATATTACAAGGAAGTATTTCCTCCTCAAGTTGGCTACTCAATGGTAGGAGTTTTTCATTTTTCTGCCGACGATCTGCTGATTTTGCTGCCAAAGCTGGTTCTCTGGCAGTGCTGCTCTCTGAATTTGAATGAGAGCACTTATGAGAGCTTTTGGATAGCCTGAGAAGGGGAGTTGTGAAAATTCCAGGTCCCTGTGGAAGCGGTCAGAATGTCACCAGTCATCCATCTTCCTTTCAGCAATTTGTTTTCTTAAACATGCCTGGGTTTTAACTTTTTAAATCTTTTGTTTTATTTTGCCTTATATCTTTAAAAGTATACTGGCTGGCTGAATGCTGATTTATTTTAACCCCTTGCTGGACTTTAGAAGTTCTTTTTTTCCCTTTGATTTATGTGGTTGTTTTGAAAAAGGTTTACTTTTTTGAAAGGAAACATAGTGTGTTCTTGGACAGTGGAAATACTTTCATTTGATCTATATTGGACTCTCACCACAAGGTTTTTTCATTTTATTAATTTTGTAAAATATTTGGAGCTTTTTTTTAAACTTTGGATCAAAATATCCAGAAAATATTTCCCCTGCTTCATTATCTAGTTCTTCACTTTGCTTCAGGATTTTGTGTTTCCTGTTTTTTTTCCATGTATCATTGCTAAATTACACAAAGCAACAATATATCAGATTACAGACCAGCAATCTGTCTGATATTTGATAAAAAATTTGATAACATGCAATCCTTCGTTGAAATCCTTTTGAAAAAGTCTGATGAAATGATAATGGCTGTGGAAAATATTCAGATGCATACATCTGTGGATAAATTAGATTCAGAAAAGGAATGTGATTTGAAAGCAGCAGATTCATTGGAAAGAAATATGGACTGTACAGATTGAGCAGTAACTTGAGTTGATTGCACACAACTCCAAGAAGTTCAAGTCTGAATTCTTTTACAATGGCAGAAACCTAACTGAGTGGAGAAGTGATAAATTGATTTTCCCTAGGAGGATTTAAGGCAATTTGGGGAATGGATTTATCACACTTAATTGGAAATCAATTTCATCTGGACTTTTTTAGTTAGATAACCAACTTTGGAGTTTGAATTTATTATATTTAACCAGACAAATATTGAAAAGATGTGGTATTAAGAAACAAATGTTGATATTTAATCTAGGATGAATTACTGTTAACTCGTGGAATGATTTGGGATATTTAAGACCATGGTAGATATTCTACGAGTTGATTAAAATAACAGTTTCTTAACAGAGGGTTTTGAAACTTTAATCTTGCCTTTATTATTATTATTATTATTATTATTATTATTATTATTAACTACTTTTTCATTAATATAATATATAGATGACACATTAATAATTTGCAAATAGATTTAGTAGTTTAAAAATTTGGGAGCCAGTTTCTCTCTCTCTCTCTCTTTTTTATAGATATTTTATTGGTTTTTAACTATAACAATCTCCAGTGCCTGATGTACAG